GACACCCACCCCCTACGCGGATTCGAACCCGTGCCGCAAGATTACGAGACAAGCTCGTTACCACCGGGTTATGGGCCGACCTACACCTTGTGTTACCCCTGAATGTCGGTCCATAAGATGAACAGACCGATGTAGAGTCCCCGTTACACCGTGCCAAGTCAAGTCCAGACTGAAATCGCACATTGGCGGACTCTGAATGGGGAGATGTTAGGAGGGGCACCTTCTAACGAAGCGATCGGTGGCGCCCGCTTTCGACAAGAACCAACGGATGCTGCTAAGATTTCTTCAATCTCGTTTATAAATGAAAAGAATGTTCCTGAAGATTCTGATACTATTATTGACAAGGAAGGAAAAGGAAAGAATATTCAAGAAAGGCGCCCATTAACTATAAATATAACCCGCATGCTCCACGTTTTGTCTTGTCGTTCGGCGAATACACGGTACAAGGGTCGACCATTGTTGTCCTTGTCAACCAATCCGGGCCCGGGGTCGAACAGCCAATCGGAGTGAAGTCATAACTATAGCAACGCAGAGGTCGACGATTCGCACAGCCAAATGGAATGAAGCAGTAGTCTTAACACAAAACCCTGAAAAAAGTGGCATTGATCTAATTGCGAGGATTCAGCAAGCTATGCCAAAGTGTCAGTATAGTGAAATTCAAGCAACCAAGTTCGAAGAAGCGATGGTTCTACAGTGTCTGATATTCGGAATCCCTAATGATCATGCACGCGAAAGGCTTTTGACGGAAGATGAGACGATGAGGAGTAGGGAGAAGGTATGTACTAGTGTTCGGCAGCAAGAAAATGTCCATAAACATATGGTTGGCAGCATCTGGTTTCGAATTTGCTTGTCACTGTGGCAAGCCACAGGACGCCTGCGCCTACAGAGGCACCATGGGTGGCTTGCGCTGTACTACCCACAGCTCCATCCAAACACCCCATATCCAGTGTAAACCCAAAGGAACAAGACCGGGAGGCATGTGGATGGGAGCCACGTTTCATCAACGGAGCCGGCCCACACTCCTTCACAGGCAAACACCAGCACGCTGTAGTTGGGAATCAATCGCACACAAGGCGGTGGCTGGACCGTAGTCTGCTTCACACTGAATGCATGGAACCACTCTTCGGGCCTAGCACGACCACAAAGACCATGCATCCCGTCCCGTCCAGCAATGACCAACTGTCTCCTGGAGCCAGTATATGGAAGAGGTAGTGAGTAATAGGTAAGCACGTTGTCAACATGCACAGAAAGCGCAGTCACACCGGGGATATCAAGCAACAGCCAAGCGATTGAAACGACGATATCAAGTGGAGACGCTGTTCTGCTCGATGACGCACATCCAAACATTTGTTTCACCAGTAAACTGGAGGACAACAATCGCCTTCCGTTTTTGGATGTGTTGTTGACCAGACGAGAAGACGGCTCCATAAAGCGTTCCGTTAACAGGAAAGCTACATTGACAGGACTGTGTGTACACTTCAACAGCGTCGCCCCTATTCAATACAAGCGGTGTTTAGTCCAGACTCTGTATAATCGAGCTCGCAGAATATGCATCGACGACTGATTGGAATCGGAATTGCTGTTCATCAAACAGTCGCTATGGGCCAACGGATATCCAGGGGCATTTATTCCATTTCACAGGCAACTGAAGGAAAACAGGCTGAGCGCACTTACTGTGCCAAAACCGTCTGTCTAATTGCAATCAGTTTGCAAAGGTGAAAATGTGGCCACCCAAAGTGAAAGACGTTTGCATACAGCGATTCGCCGGACATTCAATACCGATAAACTCTGCCCCATTTGGGAAACCAGGAAGTTGCCAATAACTCCAGTGTAGCCTACTCAAGCGATCACCGACACAACCCATCGTAACCACCAATTCGTTTGTAACTGCGAAAGTAGTCACATTCGCAGAGCAGATAGATCCTTGGGTAAGCGCATTGGAAAGCATATCTCAAAACGGATTGCTACGCTATCGACACAAAAAGCAGCAGAACATGAAAAAGTATGTAAGCTGCCGGCGTCATCTATCGCCAGACATCTAATCGAAACAGGCCATTAGGTTGACCCTTTGCCAACATTTACAGTTATCAATCGAAATGAAAACCCCAAAGTTTTGAAGTTCGCTGAAGCTGTGACACTTAACTGGCATCGCCCTATCCTTTGTGTACAGAAACAATTAACATTCAAAACATTGAGTTCCCTATATTAACTTGAATAGCACAATAAGAAGACGAATGTTGCAAGGTGGTAGCATTTCGTGCCCTCTGTTCACTTGCAAATGGACAACATATCAAATGATAACGTGACAAAACAGAAATCAATAAGTTGAATGCGTGAGGTCACATGCAAGCGAAGTAAACGTTGGCTACAGGTTGAGGAGGAAGTATTAACTCCAAGGGAGTTTGAGCTTGCTTTACGAACAGTTGTTTCTGAACGCACAATGTTAGAGAATGCTTTTTATGGCCAGTGCCTCGGCAAACTTGAGGACTCTGGCGTTTGTGTTACGATAGATGACACTAAACGCCGAGTTGAGGTCCACCTGATGAACCGTTTCCATCAGATGTTTCGCAGTCGAAGAAGCAGGTACATTGTTCGTCGACACAGGTCTCATTTGTGGCTGCCTTGTCAAGGTGACGATACGCTTTGGAATGTGCTCCCCAATCCGCTTACACAAGCAACGATCGGTTTTGTCGATGTAACTGCTTCCACAGTTACAAACAAACCGATAGATACAATGCGTTGTGGCGGAGACCGGCTTAGTAGGCTTGACTGGGGGCAGTGGTAGCTTCTTGGTTGTCCAGAGAAGGCAGAATTTAGCGGCACCGAATACACGCCGTATTGCAATTGCTGTGCGTCATTCTACCTGTCTAGCCAGAACATCCCCTTTGAAGGGTAGTCGCAGATAAACAGGCATTTTTGGTACAGTAAGGACGACCGTCTGTTCACTTTCCACGGGGCGTCTATGAAAGCTAATAAAGGCTTCTGGGTAGCCATTTGCCCGTAGGGTATGCGTGATGAATTGCCATTCAGCCTCGATGCATTCCGTACTGCATATCCTGCGGGTCCGATTGAACAACGTTTTGACAAGGTATCGCTTGTACTGAACCGGTGTAAAACTGCTGAAATGTTCATACAAACCGGTCCATGTAGCTTTCCGGTAAACGGTGCGTTGTATCGTGCATCTTCTCGTTTCGTCAGTAGTACATCCAGAAGGGGCAGGCGGTTATCATCCTCAACTTCACAGGTGAAGCGGGCATTTGAGTGGGCAGCGTTCATAACACTGAGCCACCTCTAAGGATGGTGCAATCATCAACGATCGACGAACAACATACCTGCTTCTTCGACTGCGAAACATCTGATGGAAACGGTTCATCAGGTGGACCTCAATTCGGCGTTTTGTGTCATCTATCGTAACACAAACGCCAGAGTCCTCAAGTTTGCCGAGGCACTGGCCATAAAAAGCATTCTCTAACATTGTGCGTTCAGAAACAACTGTTCGTAAAGCAAGCTCAAACTCCCTTGGAGTTAATACTTCCTCCTCAACCTGTAGCCAACGTTTACTTCGCTTGCATGTGACCTCACGCATTCAACTTATTGATTTCTGTTTTGTCACGTTATCATTTGATATGTTGTCCATTTGCAAGTGAACAGAGGGCACGAAATGCTACCACCTTGCAACATTCGTCTTCTTATTGTGCTATTCAAGTTAACATAGGGAACTCAATGCTTCAGACTGTTAATTGTTTCTGTACACAAAGGATAGGGCGATGCCAGTTAAGTGCCACAGCTTCAGCGAACCTCAAAACTTTGGGGTTTTCATTTCGATTGATAACTGTAAATGTTGGCAAAGGGTCAACCTAATGGCCTGTTTCGATTAGATGTTTGGCGATAGATGACACCGGCAGCTTACATACTTTTTCTTGTTCTGCTGCTTGTTGTGTCCATAGTAATGCGAATACAGTCCAATGAATCAACCGAAAAAGTGTCACATTGAGGCGGTCTGAAGTGTCTTTGACATGCTACAAAGCAGCAGCGATGAGACTGGATATTAACGTGGTGCGAAGGTTTGCGTACCTCCTTGACTCATTGAGCTATACTGGGTGATGCCTCCATGGCCATTGAGAGTCACTCCTGCCAGCTGAGTTACCTGTGAGGTAATGGCTGATTATGACGCGGGGCAGTGAAAGCCGCAAGGAGACTGTCTCGCTGATGCCGCCTTATCTTTGCAAGACGGCCAGTTGTTTGTGACGGTATGTTGTCTACACAAGGTGTAGGCACTTTGACACTGAATGTTTGCTTGGGGCATTAAGGTTTTCAGATAATACACCCTTCTCTCCCTCTTATTATTCTTAATTGAATAGGTCATCGTGGTGTATGGTAGCGAAGCATCAGTTCAAATGGCTGATGTACTGCTGTTGTTGATGCTACAAAAGACCGATTATGGTGGCTTTCCTTCATTGAACGCCGCATTCGACTGCGTTGATCGAGCCAGCTTGTGGCACTGCCTATCCATGGAGGGCTGCCAGATAAACTCCTTTTCATTCTGAAGTCCCTCTACTGTGGTTCACAAGACAGTGCAAGGGTCTACGGAAAACTCTCTCCTAACTTCCCCACTACAAGTGGGGTTAGCCAGGGTTGTCACATATCTCCATGCCTCTTCGACTTTGTGATCAAAATGATCAGGAGTGACTCGGTTCCTTCAGACTATTATGGAGTGGAAGTTTCGCCAGGCAGCCGACTAACAAGTTTGGAGTATGCGGGCGACATAGTTCTCCTTGGGTCTAATGCATTGGTTATGCAAACACTACTGCAAGGCTCGTGCGTAGCGCAGCACGCTTCAGAATGTACTTTGAACCAAAGTGCAAAATGCTGTTGCATGACTTAGCTGACACACCTCCGCTTTTAGCTATTTCCGACCAGTCACTGGAAGTGGTGGATCGGTTCACTTACCTTGGTAGCTGTGTCATCTCTGGTGGTCACACCATTGAAGAGGTTACTTCGTGTATCATCAAGGCCCGGGTGGTTTTTCAGACTCAATCAGATTCACGCCACATATCACTGCACTGAGGATGCCATCTCGCATGGTGGTGAAACGTTTGCGACAAAACCGCCAAGCTCGGAGAACAAATGAACAATAGACTCAATCATCTATGGAGATGGCGAGATATCAGCCTGTCAGTGAAAGGTAGGGTGTACAACGCTGCGGTAGGACCGATCTTACTATATGGATCAGAGACTTGGCCACTTCGTGGCAAATACTTTAAACGCTTGGTTGTTTTTGACCACTGGTGCTTGCGGAGTGTTGCTCACGTCTGGTAGGAACACCGGGTGAGCACTGCTGAGGTCCGCCAGTTGATTTTTAGCAAGAAGTCTTCTGGTGCCTCACTCGGGTGTTTATTGAAGATCCGTCGTTTCATCATCTTCATTTTATTATTATTGTTATGCACGTTAGCCAAAAGTGCAAAACATCTCAGCTACTGTGCCGCAATACCTAAAATAAAAATGATACAGTTGCATGCCAGCTGAGCTACCAGTAACGGATGGGCAACATTCCGGAAAGCTACAACCGGCTATTAGGTAACAACAAATTGTTATGTAAATTTATATTATGCTACGAAATAAGATCGTGGTTGGAGGGGGAGGCTAAGAGGGATGGGGAGGGACGAAAAGAATCACAGTACGAACTCCACTAAGGTGGGCTCCTAGCCATGTCAGCAAATGTATTCAGCCAAATGTGTTCATCGACTTTTGGACCCCAACAAGAGAGTCGTGTTGCTTCAACTGAGGCCAGCTTCGAAGTGAGGGCCTTCATTGCTCTCGACCGTCATCGCTTGACCACCTCTCCTCTTCTTCCATACGCATCTGTGGCGCGCAAACAATGTACGTCGCTGGAGCCAGTGGGCTGGCATGCGCAACATGTGGCCAAGCCATCGGAGCCTGGTGCATGAAATAACGGTGCTGAGCGGTTCAGTTCCTTTTGCTTTGCTGTAAACAAGGCGTCGAACACGCTCGTCGCTCACGCGGTGTTCCCACCAGATGTGAGCCAAACTGAGAGGGTACCGGTGGTCGAACATAACTAGTCGTTTACGTCGGCTACATCATGTGCTCCGTATGCCAGTTGGCAGATTTCCTCGGTGTGTATCATACGCCATCGCTGCACTAAACTGGACGAATTCGCGAGGTGTGCAGTTGTTGAGGTGGCATGAAGGCATGAAAAAATTGACTGAGAGATTTGGCCAGACTGATGTATGCCGACTTCGTGGATGGGAGCCCAGGGATGGTCCTCATCAGCAGTTGGAGGCCCTATTAGACATGGCGCAGTCGTGCAATCAGTGGCGTTCCAGCATACGGTTTTTTTTGTAAATAACCGTTAATTTTTATTCTATCCGGATTAGTTTACCGCACTTCCTTCTTGATTCTATGTTCCTTATATCGTTTGCATTCAACCCCACTATCTTGCTACGAGTCGTGGCTACTGGATCCATCACACTTCGGTGCTCGGATCAAAGCCTTTTAAGCGAACTGAACTTCCGAAGCGCGTGCACAAGTGTACGCACAGACCAGAGCGTGATCGGGGTCGAGGTTGGTGGACCAAATCGGTTTACTGTCCCGTATGCTGCGCCACCATCTTAAGTGAATCACAGTGTGATCGTTGTGACTACGTTTACGTTAGTGGAGGCCAATTTGCGGAACGTCTCCTCGTACACCGGAAGCTTGTGCTCCATAGAAACAAACCACCATCGTCCCATGGTGTGAGAAAGCAACTACAGTTATCAGAACGGTCCTCGTTAAGGGCGACAACACCATCAAGATGACTCGCGTGCGGCAGCGACTGACCGATCTGTGCACGGAGGTCAAGGGAAGGACGATCACATCTGAGTTTTCTGCTTCACTCAAAGTTGTTGGAGTCTGCGGTAAAAGTCGTTATTAACCGATGTACAGATGGAGCATATTCGAGAAGCGCAAACCAGTTGCGTTCCTCTCTACGATATCCGTTAAACGTGAAGGGACTCTGAAACTGGATTGCACCCAACCGGATGCCAATCGGGAACCAATCCCGTAGCACGGTGCTAGCTTTATGTTACAATGCGACACTAGCACTAGCCAAACCGACTGCATTTGTTTTGTGTCACCAAATGAACAGCATCTGTTTCTACGTAAGCAGTGCTGGAGTTCTGTAATCGGATCTCAGAAAGCTAGTAAACATCGAGAGCGTGGGACTTCGAAGTGCGCGACAGACTGGCCTACTGTTTGATCTCCATGATGGTTCGTACATATATACGTATGGTTCTCGAAAGTGTGAGAAGCTGTTCCCAAATCAAGAACAGATCAATATGGACTGAAATGATCATTCTCTTGAATAAGTGCATGTTGTCACCGACTTTTAGCGTTATAGATATTTTTTGGACCATTCTGGAATAGTTCAACAGGTGAGTTGTCGGATGAGAACATGGATAATAAGACTTCTAGATTTAATAATCTATCGAGTTCGGTGCAGAATGACATAGGGCTTTCACACGTCCTGAATGCGATTGGTAGGCTGTTTCACAAGGAAAATGTTGGAGTGCATAATCGTTCTAGTTCTTGGTAACAGCAGCTTAAATTTTTTGTTGCGGAGTCTGTGATTGTTATTGGTTTTTATCTCTAAGTCAGGTAGGTAGGAATACATTTTCTGGTCTAACAAATTGTGAGAGAGCACCAAGCTTGGATTTAGACGTCGCAGCCAGTGAGGCTCCATGCAAAGTTGCTTGAAATGTCCGCGATAGCTTAGGGTGGATGTGCTACTGAACAAATGTTTGGCGAATGACCTCTGTAGTTTCTATAGCTTTCCTGTTTAATTTCCGCATACTGCCATTGATGAAGTCGCAGTATACGAGAATAGGACGAGTGAGGGTTTTAAATAATTCCAACCTGGCAGGGTCTGAAAAGGTTTTGTCGCATATGTTAGCCACGGATTGTCTAGCTCGAGCATATTTGGTATTGGGCATGTACGGAAAAGCAGGCAGAAAAATATTGGATCACAAGATCAAGGGTAGACTGCCTTACGGATATGCTTTTATCGTTTAACTGATCCATTGGGGATCGAGCAACCATATGACAATGTTTGATTTATCGGTCGAGAATTGCATCAGCTACGTCTCAGAGGACTCCTGGAGAGTGAAGATCTTTTTGAATTAAAAGTAGTGTGCCCCGAATCGCATCACGCCGGAGTTTGTAAACCATCTCGACGTCATCAGTAAACAGAAAGATTTGGCAATTTTCGAGACGTACAAAAATCATTGATGTAAAGAAGAAAAAGCAAAGGGCCGAGTACAGTTCCTTGGATGACGCCGCTGGTATTTGGGTGGTGGTCACTCAGTGACTATTTGAAACTGACTGCTAAGGTAGGAGGAAAACCAACTTAAAAGGGGGTTCCGAATTCTAAAAGATTCAATCTTTTTCAACATTGAAGGATACCAAACGAAATGAAGATAGTGTCTGAAGGAGTGCCATAAAAACGAAATCAGCTGCAGTGGAAGGTGAAACCAACTGCATCAAACCTCAAAGTGTCAGTTAATCTGACGGGTTTTAAGGTTGCAAGGAAGAATGACATTTCAAACGGGTTATTTACGGTATTCTCGTCAGCTGTAACATACTGCGCGGAATAATCGTGTTGCATGTATGGGAAAGCAATGGTCAAGGTCATTCAGTATAAGTTTGAAGTGAACAGCAAACCCCATTAAGGCATAACAAGGCTGACCATAAACTTAGTTCGCTTGCACAATCTTGGTTGCAGCCGTCGAATCGCTGAAGCTTCGGCAAAATGAAGCAGATGAGTATTGCTCCATCGATTAATTATCCTGAACGCATCGAGTAAAGTATGACATGTAGAGCAGTCTAGGATGTGCTGAGTAATAGAGGTAGACGGCAGATTGGGACCATTCGCGACGAGAGTGTGCAGAACGTGCTTGAAATCCTGGTCGACAGCCTTCTCTCAGTTCACTAAACGTACTTGCTACCACAAACACAATGAAAAAAATAAACACATGAGGCAGTAACTTGGGGGTCTGGCTTATCCAGGTCTCATGTACATAGCGACTTCCTAATTTCGCGTAATAACACAAGCTTGCTGATGGCTTCAAATTTAAACTGAATGACATTGAAGGTTGTCACCTCATATATGCAACACGTTTGTCCTACGCAGTATGTTAATACCTGATGATAAGACCGGAAACAACTGAATTCAGATGTCCGGTTGAAATGTCATACCTTCTTGTTGTCTTGTAATTTATCAAGGGAAAATCATGCATACAAATCTAGCAGGCGGTCGAAAAGCGATAGAAAACAAGCGTCAGCGGTGCATCAGTGCCGCGTAACGATGCGACGCTGCCATTCAGTCGTGAGCAGTTACATGTCGGCTGGCATACTGCCACGGCTCCCAAACATATGGCAGAGGATTGACTCGGACCCGGGGAGCAGAGACTACAGGCCGGATAACTAAATCAATACATCATACATACCTCATGGTCCCTACACCTTAGCAACAACAAACAGTCGCAAGCAGCTGCTCATCGGGTAAAAATAAGATTTTGCCGAAGTAGCTTATTTATGACTTTTGCTGCCAGCGTCACTAGCAACTCGGGACCATACAAGATTTAAACAGGTAGTTCGGCTAGGAGACGGCTGCAAACACGACAGTGAAAATGGAAGTCATCAGCGGCACGCCGGTATGCAGTACCGACGCTTCGCTGGCGCGCAACAACCACCAGTCGCAGATGGGCTAAAGATACTGCGACGGTCGCCCGGTCCCTTACGCAGGCTCGAACACGCGTTTGTGATCTTTGAGGCTACAGGCCGACACTGGTGCCTGTAGTATCTCAGGTCAAAAAAGTGTGGGTCTAGTGAGTCTACACTAAAAGACAAGACGAAGTAACAGCAACAAATTAGTGGTCAGTTACTTCATTTCCTGATACTAGGTCAACGGCTGTCTTCCTCCAAGAGAATTAAGCAATTCTACATGCGCTAAACAAAACAAGTCTCTCCTCAGCACGGAATTTAAGCAGTCAGTTTTGTCGAACCGAGCCGATCAGCGAAGCCAGATTTCCACATGCACACAGATGGTCGCCGACACACCGGCGAAACCTTACATCAACGATGTTCCACGGGCAAAAAACCTTGGAGGAGCTTGTTCACAAAGTGAAGGAGCACCTATGTCTCTGCTGAGGAAAACGTATTTCATTGTGGGTTTGCAATCAAGAGCTGTTGGAGTACAGAAAATTCCATTCCAGGGCGAAAGGTGTCACAGGTTCATTAACACCACTTTTGCAGTCGTACTAAATCAATTAATTTCATTATCCATGCATACGCCGCTGACAAGATAGGCGGAATAATAAAAAATCTTCAGTTTTTGATGATCATGTCAAAACTCTCGCGTGTGGTTGATGGTGCCCCAAAAGCACCGGAGTAATTGAGAGACGGTATAGGCCAATGAGGACTCAACCCTAAAACTGAAAACGACGCACACCCCTGTTTCATTTGCAGTGAATAAAGCATCATCTCCCAACGAGTAACGTCAATTACGAGGATAGGTTATATATGGCGGTTTCGATAATCGAGTGGGAGTTGCGGTGCAATTTAAAAGTAGTAGTGGTAGTAATAGTAGTAGTAAGCTCAGCAGTCTATCAACTAGACACAGCCAACACAAAACCATGGAGATCAGCGGATAAGGGAACCTCATCGCGTCATAATCAACGTGGCATGTTAGTTGAAGGTGAGCAACACACTTCAGCTAATATGCCGCAGGAAGAACGGAACATATGGCAAAAAATAGAACAAAACAATTTTAGTTTGCTTTTCACACACCGATATTTCTCTTTCGTCATTTTCAATGTTTGTAGTATTAAACATGTGAATCAATACAATACTGTGCACAATTCTTCCACTGATTCCGGTTGCGGGCCATGTCTTCAAGAGTGCTAAGCCATTGGCACTCATCATCTTTGGGTCCTCATCCTGGAAGACGTACAGATCCAACAGCGGTTAGACACAACGTCAGCGATTGCTTGTGCTGTCGTCAAGGGGAAGGCTGATCACCACGCGGTCGCATCCAGCCAGGTCCTTGATGAGTGAATAGAGCGCGACGCGGTAGACGCTCAGGTGTCATGCGTAGGACGTGACCGAACCATCTTAACTGGCGCAACAAAACTAGTTTGTTGAAGGGAATACTCGCATTCCCCAAGATGCGACGTCGAACGTCATTACTATTAACTTGATGTTGCCACCAAACACGAGCAATCCTCCTTAAGCAACCGTTATCGAAGGCAGAAAGACGACGCATGTCTTCCACGCGAATCGGCCAGGAATCGCACCCATACAACAATAATGAGCAAACTGATGCGCTGTAAACGCGGTCCTTTAGTGAGAATGAAACATCGCGACGACGCCACAAGTGCCTCAAATTGACAAATGCTGATCGAGCTTTAGCGATCCGAAGAGAAACCCCTTTGTTGATAGTGCCGTCAGCAGAAACACAGCTCCCAAGCTAGACGAAACTATCTACCTGTTCAAGTTGTGCACTTTCGAAAGTGAGCACGGGAGCAGGTGAAAGCCAATTCTTGGACAGCACCTTACACTTCGATGGGGCGAAGCTCATGCCATACTTAGATGCTTCAACCGCCAAACGATCCAGAATGAGTTGCATACCCTGAGGATCGTCACCAATTAAGGCGTTATCATCAGCATAATCTAAGTCGTTCGCGCGCTCACCCGGTAGAAGCTCTAGGCCAAAATGTTGGAAACCTTCTAGAGCATTCGTCAGAACGTCTTTGATCGCGAAGTTGAAAAGGAATGGGGACATAGGGCAGCCCTGTCGCACACCGCTATTGACAGCGAATTGCGAGGAAAGCTTGCTATAGACCCTCACTCTGCCGGATGTATGAAGATAAAGTGCTCGTAAGATGGCGGTATATTTCTCTGGCACCCCGTTCTTTAGCATACGTTTATACCTAAGGCACCCATTGTTAATGCAGGTGTAGCCTGTTGAGTGCGAAAATTTAACGCCGTCGAAGAAACAAGACAGAGCGGCCTGATTAGGGGTTCCTATTCAGGGGACTAGTGGGTACGGCGGTGACACGAGCGTATATGACAAAACTATAGCCCAACCGCAGCGTCTGGGACAAACAGTTTTAATGATCAGGGATGCAAATTAACGGCGCGATCAACGAGTCTGTAGGTTTCTTGCATTGACCTTAAATTCAGGCTGTTAGAACGTTAGTTAGTCTCCATGTGAATGCGGTTAATACACTCCGTCAGTAAGGCATCAAAAATACTCCGGGACCCCATAACGACACTACACTGCCACAAGACCACCACTGTTAGCGCTGGTTCGCCAAACAACCCCGCCACGGGGTGCCAGCTGGGTGGTTCGGGATTATTTCATTCCAGAAAATAGTTCGGCAGCAGTGTTCCAGGAAATGGTGAGTTTTCACCCGGCAAGCGTTTAACCGATAAAAGCCGCATGTCTGTTTAACAGCACTGTGACGTGGCGGATGTAACTCTCCACTAATTAAAGTTACCGCCTCTTGCTTATCCGGATGTTCCATTACACGGACGTCCGTCATCAACCACGAAGCTTTGCTTTGATCCATTCGCATACTGGCGACGCGATCTAACACAGTCAAAATGCAGCGGCACGTTTAAAATCCAAGTAAGACATCTACACACCCACACATATATGCAGGTAGATTTCCTAGGTTACTGGCAAACTAGTGACATTTTTGTATATTTTCGATCATTCATTGTTCTTTTACAATGATCGTGCCCATGTCGAGAATAAACTAGTTATTTATATTGAGAGGCTACCAGCCCCTGCGCAGATTCAAACCGATGACCTATGGATCACAAGATAGAAGCTTTAAACCAACCGAGCATTCAGGCGGGTAACTTCGTCCATTTGCTATGACAGCGGTGAGCAGTGGTGTGTCGTTTCACATAAGTTTGCTACTCACAGGACTGCTAATAGAGAAATCAAAACATCAAAAACGTGATGGATCCGCTAGATAAAGTGGAAATTATCTGACACGCTGTATAAATATTTCACAGTATGCGTATGAGGCTAGCATTGGAAAATAAAGGTCGCACCTGTGCTACTTCGACAGTTGTTTTGTTTGGCATGAGAATCGCAGATTGTCCACGACACACTGAACCAGATTCCACTTTGCCTGTGACGAAGATGCCCATGTCCTTGTACTTGTCGGTGATGGGTATTCGAAGCGGTCCATGGATTTTACGAGTAATACTTGGCAGTGAGTCCAGGTATTCCAAGAGTGAGGGACCCCGATACCAGGGACAAACAGATGGGTCTGGCACATCGCGGAGGAACGAACCTGTGTAACCCGAACAAGGCATAATATACACTTCGGATTTCACATTAAAACCAATCTTCCTTAAAAACGGTATAATCTTATCTTTGCATTCAATATATCGACCTTCATCCCACTGCACGGTAGGGTCATCCATCTTGTTGACGAGCACAATTAAGTGCTTCACACCAGCTGTTTTTACCAAAACCGCATGCTCTCTCGTCTGGCCACCTTTGTCAAACCCAGTTTCGAACTCTCCTCTGCGAGCCGAAATTACGAGGATCGCCAAATCTGCCACCACCGCTCCCGTGATCATGTTCGGAACAAATGATTTGTGACCCGGTGCATCAATAAGAACGAAACGCTTCTTCGCTGTCTCAAAATATGCCCGCCCACATTCAACTGTTTTGCCCTTTTCGCGCTCTTCGGCGTTGGTGTCTAAAGCCCAGGAGAGATACCAAGACTCTCTATTTTTCTCTTTCGCTTCACGTTCATACTTTTCCAGCGTGCGCTTATCGACCATATCTAAAGGGGACGTAAAAATTAAAAATTATAGGTACCCGTAAGGTATAATATATGACCACCAATAGTGGACTTCCCGGCATCAACGTGACCGATGAAGACAAGATTGATGGTATCCTTCCGTGTTTCCGGTAGCACAGAAAGCTAAATCACAGTTGGTGAAGGGAAGCAGATAAACCTCTGGTTTCAAGGAAAGATCCATAGGTTGTGTTGGTATATCTTGTGTCAGAATGTTAATGGATGTGTACACATTGTAATACCTCTGGGTTCGATACTATCTGTCCAATCGGTAGAACGGACCTGATTGGTTGGAATAAACGATTCTTCACTATGTACAAGTATCGTGTCTGGGTAAGGTTGGCCAGGAATGAACTCCGGAGCATCAATATTGAGGTTTGAGAAAGAACCGGTCAAAGGAGGCTGGTTGGAAACGTTGTCCTCCCAGGACATCGCAGTGGGGTGCAATTACCTTGAAAAACCAACAGACCAACGTGAAAAGCACTTATCTGAGGCAGAGATGAAGGCATAAAGTAAGGTTAAATCTGATCCACAAAAAGAATGTGAAGAAAAAATGGTTTTGACAACGGTGAATGCCGACTCAAAAGACAAATGATACAAAGTCGCAATGCGATTACTCCGGCTTGACGACCAGCGGAATTCAAATGTGGGGAAAACCGCTACTAAGCGGGAATTCCCAATACATGCGAATAAGTACGCAGAGGTGTCTAATCGGGTGTTTCGAAATCCTATAAAAACAACGGCGAATGAACAATGATCAAGCCTTTCCAAAGCGAATGGTTTGTATACGGTTCGATGAGGGCGAGTAGGGGATCAGCCTATTAACTGCTAGGTGGCTTGATAGAAAACATGATGGCCCATCAAAAGTTCGTCTATTAAAACCGGTTGTAAAAATGCAAAAGGATGCCGATGCATCCGAAGACAAACCTCATGTCCCAAGAAGAAAACCGTTCATGCTTAAAAAGACCTTCATGCAAAGGATCGAAGCATACTTTCTTTTAATGAAGTATAAACTAGTTAAGCGAACAGCGAAGCCGATCTCCGCATTGTGAAAAACTTCGGGATCACGTTGGACACCAACCCTTTGAAGTATTGGGCTTCAAAAGTAAGGAATGGATCATGCGTGATACTGGCCAAGGCGCGTAGTCGCAAAAACGAGCCGGATTAGGTTCCGCTTAATACCTCTGATGATAGTCGGAACCCGACGGTTTTCATAGTGAACTGGTTATTATCAGAGACTTCGGACTCAGAGGCTTGTATCCTTGAATATTAACTAGCTTGCGATATTATTCTTCCCTGTATATATTTATTTTGTGACCACGCTCTGCTTGTCCATCACACTTTCAGCTCTTATCTCAATTCACAGACGGTAGTGATTGCCGACTCACTAATCCGTCTCTGACAGTTCCGCTTCACTAAAATTCATTTGTCTGTGGAAGGATCATCATAACAAGTTCTCTCAGACCGGAATGATTCGACGCCGATCCCAATTGATTCACTGGCATCATCAGTCTGCTGAAACGTACAATCCCGGCATACGAAGAATTCTGGTGAACCACACAGTTCCATCAGCCTTCGAATAGTGCTCAGAGCACCAACTTAAACGAAGCTATACAAGTACTGGAGGGCCTTAATATGAAGCCCAAAAACGGTTTCCAGCGTCAAATGTTAGTAAAGTGCAAAAAACCAAACATGCGTACCTTGAACCAATTCGCTCAGAAGTTCAAAGCCATTGCTAAGGACTGCAAGTTTAATGCAGTCAGCAAGATGGTGCCATTTGCCACGCCTTCATCATGGGGATAGCTTCTCTTCAGATACGATAACGCTTACTGGAACAGAGCATTAAATTTTCATACTGCATTAGATCTAACGAAGTTCATGAAAATGGCACCAACACTCAAAATTTTGCATTGGTTGGTGCAGTCCAACTGCCGGGATAGAATTCGAAGGACGATGAACACGTTTGGTTGGATACGCTTGTTGACATGGCGAAAACCGACCTCAATGGTGTTGGCGCTGTGAATTTCTTCATCCATCCTCTTGTTTAGATTGTAATGAACCTGAAACATTCACTTTCAGTAGTTTACAACATTAGATTGTATTGGTGTCGTTGGTAGCTTTTGATAGTTCACTTTTTCCTCGGTGAGTCACGCACTAGGTCGTTTCCTGCCCCTCGCCGATTCACTCTTTGACCAGTGTAGCCTGTGTAATATACTTTGGGTCCAGCTGTGTCTATGGCCGCTAACGTTTCGGATTTGATAAGTCTCTTACATGTCATCGCTACAGACTAGTATCCGAGGCACACCCAACAACTAGTGACATCGGTTAGGAACACGCCACCCACCATTTTGAATTTCCATCTTGGCGAGATCGTTCCGGTAACTAAGTAGTTGATTACTTGTTGCATTTTGTTTCCTCACATATCGTACATTACTATTCACTTTTTGCAGTGGATGAACTAGAGGTTATATACCTGACCACGGTTAAGGCCATAGAATTAACCTTAAAACCTTTTTCGGAGAATGATGCGTTAATGGTTTGAGCGCCCGGAATCTACATCTTACAACCGCAAAATTTCTTTCGATTTCTTTATGTTTAATCAGACAATACCTCGGTTTCCTCAGAGTATATCCACACAGAAAGCCGACATAGATTGGGCAGTACACCAGTGGCTTGGGGGTAGCGGTCACAACTAACATAGCAATGGTCCCCGGTTCGATAAGTGCTATCCCTATCTGATGACATCAACTGAGATCTCCATTGCAATGAGGCTGCACCTCACCGTAGTGCGTGGTTTGTGTGCCTAAGCGATTTATTGAACTAAGTTGAGTGATGCTTTTTGCACCTTCAGAGCCACTCATACCAGATTGGTCAATGGTTAGAAGCCAGATAAACCCAGTCTCCTAGTCCTCCCGGTTGGGGGTTGAAGTGACGGTGGCTCCTTAGTTCTTAAAACGAACTCCTTTTAGCCCACTACCAAACCCGCTGCCTTGTGGGCAGGTACTTGAACCAAAGGCTTTTGTTGAAAACCCTTATCGTCCTCTTGTCTAGGCCTAAGCAACCTGCCAGCATCCTGCGCACACAATACTATGAATCACTGCACAAACAATTTACCGATGCTATGGCTGCCGCAGAAAATAATCAATGGCGCTATAGCTGCTGTGTTGAACAGGGTGGATAGGGGTCTAGATGCTACTGCCTAAGACTTCCCACCTTCTTATTCTCTCTCTAAGGCTTCTGCATCCTTATCATCTTGTTCCAAGTTCACTTTATCCCTCCGGTTTCAACCCCCAATCCTTGGTCGTCCCCACCATGCCTTGATAGGCATATATCTTCTAGTTTCAACTCAAACGTAAACGCGAAGCGTCGCTCTTACCCTATCGACAAGCTCATGTTCAACCAAGCGGCCAAGCACGCTCATCGGCTTTTATTTGGAACCCCGATCCTCACTCAGATTGG